AATATTAGTTGAACAAACAAAACTTTACTTTATAAAAACCTGCTCACATTTTGTGAACGCGTTTTGATATTATAATATGTCACACATTGCAATTTACGTCAATGTAAAAAAGATATTCTTAGATTGTAGTAATATGTTTGTATTAATAATGTATGGAGTATTGTTAAATAGATTGATTCGTACGATAACTGATAAAATTGAATAAATATATACTTTTTAAATATAAAGAGAAAAGAACAGATTTTATAATTTGTCAGCGTATGATAAAGGATATAGGTTACATTGAAAAACAAATATAAATATTCAACAAATACACGATCGATCTTTTACTGACTTACCATGCTTAAGATAATAATCCAATTGATTAAAACAGGAATCTTTTGAAACACAAAAGTATCGCTATATAAGATTTAAACCAAAGTGTTGAAGAATATCTGCGATCTCGTCTGTTCGAGAAATACTCGATAACTACAGGACAGTCGTTTTTGTGAAGTAACGAATATACATCACGATGAAAACATCTGTGTTGTGAAAAACGTCTTACTTAGAGTGTATGTCATGTAGATACATACATGTATAGAAGCAGTAGCGTATCAAAAGAAGTGCGGAAGGAGCGATCCGCTCCGGTCGCTGTCGGCGGACTGGAGCAATATATAAACGCGTTTTTATAGGGTGAAGTTCGAGCTTTGTTTAATATAATGTACAAAAATTTTATTTGTTCTTATTTCTTCGACTTGAGTAACAGAAACACGAAATGTCTTTTCAAAAAATGTGGCGTCTTTTTTTGTATCAAAACTTCCTATAGATTTTGGTGTAAAATGAAAAGACTGCTTTGTCTTTTCTTGCTTATTCGTAATGCGCTTTTTTTTTCTTTAAAATAATCGAATAGCGCAAAAACAAACGAGGAGTACACACTTGTAATTTTACAGTTTTTAACACAAACAACTGTGTGAATTATATAGCCAAAGTATAGTGTAGGATTGACATATCGCTTCTTTTTTTATATTTGTAAGAAATTAATTTCTTATCAAAAATTAAAGTGTAAATTAAAACAGGTGATTAGTACTAAACTAAAACAATTATTTGATAGTTATTTAAGTAGTTATTAGCAAAGTAACGTTATAAAGAAAAGGAAAGAAACCGCACTGGTCGTTGTCTTTTCTTACTACGCTACTGTATAGAGGTAACTTTTGTAGTTCGTGGATATTCTGTTCCACAGAAATGCCGCGTTTTTTAAATCGCGATATACGAGCATCGTATAAGCGCGCATATATTAAATAAACGGATTATTTAATTACTTTTCTCCATTTTGCTACAATATGTAAATTGCGTTGTATTGAATTCGCGGTCTAAGAAAGTTATCTCTACTGATAGAAATATGGTTAGTGAAAAAAATATGATGTTTGAAATGAAAAATTTTACTGTTCAATATGTGAAAACGTTTATATACGAAATGTTTTATTTGAGATAGTCAGTTCAATATTTGGTTTTTTGAAACAACTACATTGAATAAATTATAAACAAATTGTTAAATTATTTAAAAGTGATTTTAACACAGACTTAAAAAGGATTACATTTGTACTGTCTACGATTGAAAGTGAATGTTGCTTCGTAAGTGTTGCATACATCTAGTTTTATGGATATGTAATATTGAAAGCAACAGTTGCGAGTATGGCGGAAAAGAGTTTCATCGGTTGGCTGCTCTCAGGTTTTTTTGTGACATATACAGAAATCAAAGCAAAAAAACGCCTGCAAACTACACTAAGTTCAATGAAAAATGGAAAGTGAAACGGACGAAAACTTGGTAGCTTTGCGCATATCTCGTATCAGAAAACCATCTTACTGTATAGTCATTGGATATTATCGATTCTGCCAATGTAACACAAACCGCTATCTCCACTTTGCACACTTTACGTTTCCTATTTAAAGACCGATTTTCTTTTCTTGAAGAACTTACTGAAAGTTGTCACAAACACAAAAACAAATCAACTAAACGAATATAGTGATCTTTCATCAGGGTTCCTTATCACCTTCGCTTTTGATTGATACTTCGATGTAAATCTGTAGAGGTAGCTGCGGTAAAGAAGAGCGCTATATCTGCGCTAGTGCACCTCGCTCTATGTTTATTGCATATTAGATATAATACAAAGATAGAATGACGCAATACTTCTGATAGCGCGTCTGTCGATAAAGTCTTAAGGTATTAAAGTTGTAAGTAAATATCTATCATTTTAAAGTGCGAGTGCGCGCGCGTCTAGTGTACAGCCTTGATAGGAAACCATTTACAAAATTATGAGACAACATCTTGCACTAAAATTGTAATTTGCAATTATACAGACATATTATAGGAAATAAATGTAAAAACATTGATTTTTTCTGAAATATTAGTAATTGTTTGCAAAATTACTTTCCAAATACTATTTTGGCAAAAGAATAACGATATGACGAATTATCTTATCAGTATATTTGCAAAATTAGTTTTACAAAGAAATTGTCCAATGATTGAGAAAAAAAATTTAGCTATGTCATGTTTAAAATATGTAGAAATATGATTGGATATGAAGAAACGCAAGAAATCGTCGTCACTCAGGATGTCATATTTGTGCAGTATTTTCACAATTTGTGTATTAGGGTGCATGTTACATGACGTTTCAATCAGGGACTTAATACCGGTATGATTTCAAAACCGGTATTCTACTAGAGATTGTATACCGAAACCGATATAGTACCGAAAGTGAGTCTTACCGTTACCGTTATAGTACCGAAACTGATACATTACCGAAAACCGTAATAAAATACCGGTATTATTTCGGTATTCTTATTAATGGTATTCTTAAAAATTAGATAGGTTAATTAAAGCAATTTTTGGTGTATAATTAATCTTCCTACCGCTTATTGGACTTATAGACCGACAAAATATAAAGACGCTTTTTTTTATAAACCAATTGAAGCAGCTATTTCAGGTTTATCGTATACCGGTATGACGTCATACCGGTATATCTGCATTTCAGTTTGCATAAGGGTTTTCATACCATTACCCAAAAATATCGGTAAAATACCGGTATATTTACCCATATTTACCTATATTTACCGTTAATTTTTTCGTGATTTTTTAAAAGTAATATCTTAAAACTATAAGTGTTGTCATTATGTTGATAACACTTTTTAAGCGATTGATATTATATTAAGAAACTAACAGAAGACGATTTTTACAATTTATATATAAATTTGTCCAATACGAAAACATGGGCCAGAGAAAAGCAACTTTTGTACACGAGTATTTCCAGTATATGATTCATCGTGCAACAAATCATTATGTTTAATTACTGATTGTAGACATGAAGTTACTGTAAGTAGTTTTAAATATATTTATATATACTANACGTCGATTATTTTTTANATAAAATATATCTTTAGGAAAATCATGCTACAAATCTATTGGNACATGTATCTTTGACTCATCCGCATGAATTTACATTAATCATGCTACGTAATAAAAGAAAGCATGAAGAAATAGCTGCTTCAATTGGTTTATAAAAAAAAGCGTCTTTATATTTTGTCGGTCTATAAGTCCAATAAGCGGTAGGAAGATTAATTATACATCAAAAATTGCTTTAATTAACCTATCTAATTTTTAAGAATACCATTAATAGGAATACCGAAATAATACCGGTATTTTATTACGGTTTTCGGTAATGTATCGGTTTCGGTACTATAACGGTAACGGTAAGACTCAATTTCAGTATTATATCGGTTTCGGTATACAATCTCTAGTATAATACCGGTATTGAAATCATACCGGTATTAAGAGGATGCTGAATCGTTCTGTTTTACCATCATTTCGTATTTCCAACTTTTTGTGAAAACTATAAATCGGAATAAAAAATGCTTCTCCAGAAATAAAGAAAATATAGTAAAAAATGGGATAAAGCCTAAAAATGTAAGAAAAACAAAAAAAACGTTTTTAGACTGTTATTACAGAAACTACATTTTTACTTTATATGCAAAATTGGCCATATAAATCCAAATAAAAATACCTTTATCCCAAACTAGAAACATAGACGAATATTTTGAGTGCTTCAAAAAAGATTTTGAAGCCTTGTGAGACAAGAAAACTTGGAAATACGATTAGTACAATTTTAGCAGAAGCGTCAGAGAGAAACATATGTCTANCCTTGGCTCTCTCATGTCATCTATCCTTGTTTTGGTTTGATTCGGTCCCGAGAGATGGCGCCACCTACCCGATAGCATAGCGGTTGAGTAGCAGCTGAGCGAACTTTTGCCAGCGGTTCAGCATCCTCTTAAGTCCCTGATTTCAATAGACTAATTAAGAAAGATATATGTTGAGTTTTAGAGTTTTCTGTAGTATTAAAAAAATATTTATGAGTCTCTAAATAAGTCAAACAATAGATAACAAGTACGACAAATGACAGTATTTATACATTTCGAGAAGTTTTCATAGAGAATAATTATAACACCAAATATTATGAGAGTAATATTACTGTAATTTTGTGTTTTTAAAAAAGAGACGATAAAGGTAGCAAGCAATAAAGTTCTGTTTAGGAGAACACATTTGTTCTTAGAGTATTTGTAGTACAGCAAAACAAAATAATTATATTATGGTACATGTAAATAATGTATATATTTAAATATGTTCACATATAACCTTGGCAAATAATATTGCACATTGTTAAATCCTTAAGAAACATTAGAAAGTAACCAGAGAAATGACGTGCAAATGTATGTTTATTATAAATAAAAATTATATAACACAAATTATTTCATAGTTAAAACATAATAGAGTAAAAGTACCGTAAGTTTTATTGTTTTATAATTATTAGTAATAATCTTAATCAATATATATATTAATTTTGGTAAACTTGACATTAAATAATATATAACTTTTTTCTCTTATTTCTATAATCTTATGTATATATGTTGTTATGGTTTACTATGTACTTAATATATATTTATTTTTTGTGCAAGATGCTTAATGAATACTTTACTTTACAACAATACTTTAATCAAATAAACTGTTATAAACTATTTACTTTTAATAAAGATTTAATTTTCTTTTGTGGACAACTGGCGCGAATTATTAACTATATTAAAATCCGTAAACTGTAGTACCGATTTTAAATATGAGTAATAAATATTTTTTGTTGTCCTAAAAGAAAACTTTTCTTATTAAACACAATTCACAAAACTAGTGAGAAATACAAGTAATTGATAGCATTTGTTCCTTTAAGATAAAGAAACCGAGTATACAAGTCTAACATTAAATCTCTGTAAATAAATGCATTTAACGGTTTGGAAAAAAGTTATTTTTTATTTTATCTAGTAAAGCACGACGATCATCAACTTTGTATTTCACGGCGAAAATAACAGAAGATGGCTAAAACAGATTACAAAATCTTATATAATAATTTTGTATATGTTTGCAGAGATTAGATAAAAAGAAATATATGTTTATAAGAACAAACAAAATATCATTTTATAATTATATAATAGGTTACATTTAAAAACTCAAAAAAATTGTTAAATTACAAGAAACACTACTTAGAAGTATAGAATACTTCTAAGAATCTATAAAAACATTTACCGCACGATGTCTGTCCTTCAGCATTTGTAAGAACTTTTCATCGGTAACCTGCAAATATTTTGTGCTGTTATCATTGAATGTGATGTGCTTGCGCATTGTGTAAAAAAACATAATATTACATATTAACGTTATTATATCAAATCCATTTGAAGATATATTATATAACTACAAAATATCTCTACCACACTTACGTATATAAATACATGATATGTATAAAAACCGAAATGTGTAAATTTTTATATATGTAAAATTAGATAAAGTAAACCATATACAGGGTGTCCCAGAATTGCCGTACAATCTCTCGTAGGCAGGTAGAAGGAATAAAACTGAGTCGAAAAGTCCTGAATCATTTTTTTCTATTATTTATAATAAAGGAGTAATTATTGAGTAAATCAGGCCATTCAGCGCAGACCTTTAGCCAGACGCACGTCAGTGAGCCGCGCGCCTCGTGTGTGTGAGCGCAAAAAATGGTTCAGGACTTTTCGACTCAGTTTTATTCCTTCTACCTGCCTACGAGAGATTGTACGGCAATTCTGGAACACCCTGTATATATTGATAAAGCAAATGACTATATATAGTACTTCCTATACGTACCATCGACAGGCCTTCGTCTGAATATATGTTGTTAATAATACAGTTCATTATTGCATGTATGTTATTGTCACTATCAGAAGAAACAATGACAATTAATATGTAAAATTTATTTGTTTACGTATTAAGTATATATTATAATACAACATCGTATATGCGGCAAGTGGATTTTATATGAAGTCAATATAGAACGTACATACATTGTGTATAAATATGCAAAACTCTATACCTAAGAAAAAGTGGTTTACCTTTCTATGTAATGTATTCCTTCTAGTATAGGCGTCAGCGATGCAACAGTTTTTGAATGCTTTGCAAGAATATTAAAAAGACAAGACACTCTATCACTTTGTTTTAAATTTACAGTATCTTTATAAGATGGCAAAACATTAGTTAAAAAGGTATTAAAAAATAAGAAAATATTTCTGCGATGTCTAGAACAAGGTAAGAACTTAAACATTTCTTCATCTTTTGACTGTGTTTTGTACATGGTTTTTAATGTATACCATGTAAAAGAGTTTTCATACATAGAATTTTCTACCATTAAACTCTGGCAAAATATCCATCTTTGCCAACTTGGCAAAAGTCTGCAATAAAACAATATATATACCTTTACTCAAAGAAGAGAAAGAGAAGGAAATAAAGAAATCACTAAACGCGATAATGTTGTTTTTTTGTAAGAACAACAAAGGCAACAACAACAACAAAAATACTAATAATAATAATAATAAGAACAATGTAAAATTTATGTTATAATCGTATATAAACGTAAAACAGCATAACTACAATCAGGTAAGGTCTTTAATACTATTATTTTGCTATTAAATCAATAACGTACCTGTTATGTGCAGGATTGTGTATATGCCACGTTAATTCAGTCATTACAATATATTTGCACTTTATGCTATCGAGAATACATGCCCATTTTAAAACTTCGTAATATAACTGATTAATGACATTATTTTCGGAAGAAGGTGTATGCAACGAATCCNCAAGAAACTTATTCAATACATCCAGAATTCTATCCTAATAATTCAAAATATATGAGTTTGTTTTATACATTAACACTTACACTTAAGTTTATTTAATAAATGTTTATAACGTATCTACGTAAATATAAAGTTTTATATTAGTTATTATTTATATTTAATACATATCATATTTCAATGATTTTATCAAACGCTTATGTACATGTAAATGTTTCTTCTTCTTTATCTGAAACTTATACATGTTTGAAAACGTCAAATATCTAATAAGGAATATTTACTTTTTGTTTAATGTATCACAGGTGTTTTTACAACATATTTTTGGACAGTTATCAACAAACAAGTCATTTGATAAATATAATTTATGTTTTTATTTTGTGTTTCTTTTTGATTTGGATTTTTATGTGTAAAACAACTTGTTTATTTATAATTTATTATACAAAAGCTTTTGTGTCGATTCCAAAATTACAAACTAATGTAGTAAAGTTTCGTAGACTATATTATATAAGTATAATGTAAGAAACTCACTTATCATTTAAGTATATCTTTTTTTAACATGTAAATTATTTATTAATTTGGTAGTATTTACCTTAATGTATGCACTTTCGGAAAACGGAAAAATTTTGGAGAAGTATTCAAACGCAGTAAATATAGGATACCAAGCTATGTAGGAATTATTCACGTGAAATACACTGGTTGCGATATCAAAAAATATGTTTAAATTATCAGTAGTATTTAAATCAAAAGTTTCATTATAATCTGCATTTTGTATTAAAAAATAAAAAGCATCGTCGAGAATTTGTGCTAATGTGACGTCAGATAAATTCAACATATTAAATGGTGTAGTTTTCAAGAAGAGAGCAATATTCTCCCAAGATTTACGATCGTAGTTGACGCGATATCCTACAACAATTAAGTGTTAGTAAGAGTGACAAAAGAAAATAGTGAGAATACTAGAAAGACAAAAAAAGATAAATAAAACAATAAAACAAGAAACAGTAAATATAATACATTGACGGAAATTTCAAAGGTACTATGTAAGAGCAAACGACAAAACTTAATAATCCATGTGTGTGAAAATATTACCAGGTACATCTATAAAAATTGCAGAATCATCTTCTTCAATATTCGGAACTATAATATTGTTTCCGTCTGGTTGTAAGTACGATTGATATTTGATATTAGACTGTGATATTGTTATATAGGTCACAGGTATCCACCACGTGCTTACACAAGATTTCTCTTTATTACTTAGAAAACAGTCTCTAGTCAATATTTCAAGAGTCCGTGTATTGTTGTGTCGGTTTACTTGTACTATAGGATAACCAACGTGTATCCAAGAAGTAATCACAGTTGTTAAACTTTTTATCAACCACGTATATCTGTGTGTAGGCATCTCTGATAATACTTTGCTCCATAAAGTATCGACATTTGACTGTATATTGTATGTATCACTTGATGTACTACTAACCAGAGAGTATTACAAGAAATATATCAATGTCAGGTGAAAAAAGTACAAAAGAAATAGTAATTTTGTCCCGTTATGACAATACCATATAGTAAATTACACGAATAAACATTTTGCACAAAATCTTCTAATAATTTATATACTCACGTGTTATGATAGAAGTTTAGAATTTCTTCAAACATAGAGTTGTATAGAACATGTTCGTCAGTGATCATGTAAAATATACTGATTGCTGCAAAAAAAGTCCGATTGTATTTATTGTATAAGTTATGAAGTTGGAAGTACACACACACAAAACTATGAGTACTTATAAATGTATATAGGATAAAGCTAATTTACAAATTTCACTTAAGAAAGTAGGACCAAAGTGATGTAGTACGACTTTCTATTGAAATAATTCTATATATTTATGATTATGAATGCATTTAAGGAACATAAAGCTACTTTATACACAAGTGACTTAAAAAAGAAATATACTACTTTTATTTACATATATTAAATAAAGATGTTTATACTATTTCTGTTGTTTATTTTTTAGTTATTTAGATAGTTTTTTTAAGTAGTACTTCCCTTACGAAAAAAACGTTTAACTATCGACCGTAACGTACAAAATCACGTTCAACTTGACCGTTAACGCTCTACATTGAACATATAACGCTGAATATTGAAANTTTACGGTCAAGTTGAACGTGATTTCGTACGTTACGGTCAATAGTTGAACGTTGTTTCTGTAATGGATTCTTTACGGTCTATGTGATTTAACACATGCATACTAAATAGTGATAGCCTAATCACAAAACTTTTTTCTGTGTTATTTGTTGTAGTTTATATTTTACCAAGATACAATTAAAAACGTTTTTAAATTAGTTTTTGTCTGTATTTACGTAAAAGTAACAGAAAAAGCACATTACAGTTAGCATTCGATTAGGTTAAAAAGGGTTCTATTAATCTTTTGTCACACACATAGTTTTAATTAGTATAAAACAAGAACTCCAAACGTCTAGTAAACCTTAACATCGTCATGTGATATCTAATAAATGTCAAAGTGAGTTTTTGTGTGAAATACATAAGAGTGATTTATATGTACAACTTACAACTGAGAATAATAAGAAAATAACAACAACAAATATAACATAGTTGTATAGACTTTTTTCTTTTTGAAGTAAAATTAATAAAAGATTTAAATACAGATATTTTGAAATGCAATTCTAAGTTTCTTAAAAATTACAGTTTGGATGTTTAGGTTGCATCACAAATATATGATTTACTTTTTATGGTGTATTGTAATAAAAGAAATATCTTAAAACATGTAAACAAAACACTGAAATAATAAAACATGTACATATATGTGCTACTACATAAAATTGTAGATACTAGTTACTAATTGTGATATTTAAATAATTGTAGTATTAATAGTGACATTTTAGTAATTAATACAATATTATAATTTTGTATTTTTTTATATTACAAAAATGCAAAACATTATGATAAAAAATATTACTTTACTCAAAATATGAATCAAAAAGTATTTTTAATCATAATGAATCATCGTAGACGTTAAAAAACTTACATTTAAACACCAAACTGAACATAAACGTTTTCGTTCATCGAATTAATATTAAAGAAGAAGATTTTTCGGGCTCTGAGTCTTTAAACTAAAAAATGAAATAAAAATCGGTTATTAGAGCCAGAATGTTTTGCAGGATGTTTTTCGGAAATGTGCTTTTATATTGTATATATATATCATATAAAATATTAATACAATTATATACAATAGAAAATATTCATATAAATACGTATTTGAAATACAATTTCAATTTTTGAATAAAATTTTATTTTAAACACGTACATATACGCATACATATTTCTGCACAACATCCTGCAAAACGGCTCTAATACCCAAATTTTATTTTATTTCTTAGTTTTTGTTTATGTTTCAAAAGTTATGCATATCTAATTTTTTAAAAATATAAATCAATTATATTTAAATACACTTTTCTTTACTAAGTATTATTTAGATATACCTCTAAAATTTTAGATATAAATATACAGTAGTGTTAGAGCAGTAGCATTTTCAAAGAGTATAACGCAGTAACAATAAGCCGATTAGTTTGTTTTCCTGTTAATTGCAAGTAAAATTCATTAAAATAAAAAGAACATTAAGAATGAAGTAAACATGTGTATACTTTATCGACTATAGAATGTTTTAAAATGACTGTAAAATTACATATTTTAAGAATAACGCAGCTCACAAGGTCCTAGAAATATCGATAAACATAACGGAAATAATATTGGCGGACATTTTACTGTACATTTACAAACTGTTAAATTACTAAACTTTTCTTTATTATTTGTAATTGTCTTACCATGTTTGCGCCACAATTTAATAAAAGTCGAGCTTGGAGATGTAAATGAATTTTCTACAACTGGAAAATCATATTTAATAACTGCCTCTGTAAAATCAAGAATTTCTCGTCGTGTTTGAACCACCATCAAATTCAGTAAAGATATCACGTTAATCTATAAAAGTTTGTATACTTATACAACTAATAGTATCATATATTTTTCTTATCAAATATATAAANTACCTTATTGTAAGTTAGAAGTGTATTGGAATATGGTAATGTATGAAGTATTTGATCAATAATATAAATTCCGTAAAATGTTGAAAAACCTTCTATAAACCAAGAATCAGAGTGTTTCAATGTAAGTAACCAAGCACTGAACATTTCTTGTATTACATTACGTGCTATCAAACATGTTACTTTGTTTCTTCGTGTAAGTGAATCTAATTCTTTATCGTATGTAATGTCAGCTTCACTACAAAGAAGTTTGTTCTTATTGCAAACGATTCATTCTTGATACAGCAGTTTAAGAACTTTCTTTATTGTTTTGAGTTATGTATCTTACTTGAAGAGAATAAGATTTGTAGTTATTAAAGTTTCGTAATGGCTAGAAATTATAGGAAGTATGTGATAAGGCATACGTGACCATGATACACCTTTCCAATTGTTTTCAATATGATACCTCATATTTTCAATAACAGATATTGCATATATCAAGCTACTATTCACATGTGGTTTATGTGAGAAATAATAATCTTCCAAAGATACCACTACTACTGCTACTAAATAAGTAGACATTACTGTAGGTGTAGAAGGAAAGTATGTAGAGAACATATTTCCTTCAAGACTTCTAGTACCAAGCATATATGACAAAGCAATTTCATCGTTGTTGTGATAAATGCGAATTCTAAATGTGGCCTTAATTGCTGGGTTTTTCCAATACGGAAATATCCATTCAGCGGGAATACGCGTCAAAATTAAATATCTGTGTAGTGAAAANCGGGAGTGCTAAAGATAATTTGTTCCAGTACTTGTCAATATATATATAAGTCATAGTGCAACANAACAAAAGTAATACTAAATAATGTTTCAAGTTAGTATGCACTTACTTCGTTTTTTCAGATTTCTGTTCATGTGATGAAACAGTAGCAACTTTGTCTAAAATACAATTATATACCGCATTTATCCAGTATATTCCAATTTGTAAATTCAGTTGTTGAGATGTGAAGTCTCCAAGATTGCGATTCAAACGATAAACACGAATGAGTAAACTTTTGGATTGATCTTTATTCGAAAATAACACCAACATCCACGACAAAGAAGTAAGATTATCACGATTTAAAATATTATTATCAAAAACATTAATTTCCGTTGCATCACAATAACGACCAAAATTTAATTTTATAGATGACTGTAAACAGCTAACATTTATTTTGACGCGAGTCTCAACGTTAAGAGAGTTATTTTGTATTAGCGGAAAAATCTTCATTTCATAGGATATCGGTTTTATGCATTGCAATTGTTCAGATAAAGTCTCATCCGTGGAAGAAACAATTCCGGTTAGAAATATTAAGCACAAAGTACCACANAATGTAAGCATCTGCGTAATGTGCGTCTATAAAAGTAAATTGATTGTTAAACAAGAAATATGCAAATAAACTTGCAACAACANATTTAAATTGTATAGAATAAATGGTTGCGTTTTGCAAAACAAGCTACTCTGTAATATTCAAATATACATAACTCTTACTTATTGATCTAATTACTCAACGTCGAATATTGATAAGACAACAACTTAATGTTTGTTTTGCTAAACGCGGTCATAAATTGCTTTTACAAATATTATTGCNACCAACAGATGTGTATGACCGTTAGTATTAGTATGTTTATCACTATGCTAGGATGTCCTTGTTTATCGCTTGCACATACACGTATACACATACATTTACATAATATTTGTCATGGGTTCATTTAGTTGCTATATAGAAGATCGAATGAAGAAAAACGAGTTCAAAGTTTGTGAAACGTTTATGACAAAATATCATTTCAACGAACAAAGCTATATTCTACAGTAAACTGTTCACATTTGTTAAGCGCGGTTTATTAATAGAATATGTCACACATTGCAAATTACATCAGTGCAAAAAAGAATTTAAAATGTAGTAATAGTTATGTAATTTTAATGTACGGAGTAAAGTGACAAATAATATGAGTCGTATAATAAGTAAGAAAATCGAGTAGATATATAGTTTTTATATATAAAAAACAAAAAACGGATTTCATACTTTGGTAGCGTGTAAAAGATAGAAGATACATTTGACAACAAATAGTAATATTTAACAAATAATGTACAAGCTTATGGTGACGTACCATATTTAAGACAATAATCCCATCAATTAAAATATGAAAATTGGAACACAAGAATTCTCATTATATACGGTCACAAAAACGAGGTGTCGAAAGATATCTGCGATCTTGCCTGTTTGAAAGATACTCGATAACTACAGGACACTCGTTTCCGTAAAGTAATAAATATACATCACGATGAAAACATTTCTATTGTGAAAAACATCTTACTTAGAGTGTATGTCATGTAGATACATATTGAGACAGTGCCGTATTGAGAAAGGTGCAAAGAAAGCGGTACGTCTCGATCGCTGTCTTAACAAAGATTCAATGGAACAATATAAAACCGCAATTTAAATGCTTACAGTTCGATCGTTGTTTAATGTAATACAACAATCTCATTTATTCTTACTTCTCCACTTTGCATAATAGACAGAAAATGTTGTTGCAATCAATTCGGCGTTTCTTGTTTATCAAAAGGTACTAGAGGCGTTGATGTAGAATGAAAAACTTGCTTTGTCTTTTTTTGCTATTAGTAATGCGTTTTGTTTTCCTCCGAAATAATTAGGTAGCATACAAACGTACGAGTCGTTTACACTGTTGTATTTACAGTTTGTAACACAGACGACTGTGCAAATAATTAGCCAAATAATTTACGATCAAGTAAGTACTTTGTTTGTATTTTTATAAAACATTATTTGGTTAAAAAAATGTAAAACGTAAAAAAAAGTAATGAATTTTACAAGAGTAAAACAATTATTTGGCTGGTATTTAAATTATTATCGAAGTAATCTTATAAAGAATAAGGAAAAAAGACCGCATCGGTAGCTGTCTTTTCTTACTACGCTACTGTATAAAGGTAGGTTTCGGAGTTCGGCGATGGTCTGTTCCATAGAAATGCCGCGTTTTATAAATCGCGATATACGAAGCTCGCATAAGCGCGCATAGTGAAGAAACGAAGTACTTAAGCTGCGTTCCGTTTCACGTATATGCTCGCATTTGTTTATACTATACGTGACATGTACTATAGATAAATGCGCTCATATGCGTGAAACGGAACGCACTCTTAGTCTCCATTCTAATATGTAAATCGCGTTCATTTGAATTTGCGGTCTACGAAAGTTATCTTTACTGATAGAAATATGGTTAATGATAAAACTATGACTTTTGAAATGTAAATTTTCACTGTTTAATATGCGATAACGTTCGTATTCGAAATGTTTTATTTGAGATAATCAATTCAATATTTGTTTTTTTGAAACAACTACACACATTGAATAAACTATAAACAAATTGTTAAACTATTTAAAAGTGATTGCAGCACAGACTCAAAGAAGATTACATTTGTACTGTCTACGATTGAAAGTGATTGTTGCTTTGCAAGTGTTTCATACATCTATTTTTATGGATACGTAATGTTGAAAGCAGCAACTGCGATTATGTCGGAAAAAAGTTTAATGGTTTGGCTGCTCTCAGGTTTTTCTGTGACATATACATAAATCAGAGCAAAATGACGCCTGCAAACTACACTAAGTTCAATGAAAAATGTAAAGTAAAACGGACAAAAACTTGTTCGGTTTGCGTATATCTCGTATCAGAAAGCCATCTTACTTTACAGCCATTAAATGTTAGCGAGTATCCCGCCAATTTAACACAAACCGTTATCTCCACTTTGCACTCTTTACTTTTCCTATGCAAAGACCGGTTTTCTTTTTTTGCTGAACTTAGTAAAGATTGTCACATACACAAAGAAAAATTAAATAGTAGAATATAATGATCTGTAATCAGGGTTCCTGATCACCTTCGCTTTTGATTGATACTTCGATGTAAAACTGTAGAGTTAGCTGCGGTAAAGAAGAGCGCTATTTCATTTTGCTCTATTTTATTGCATATTAGGGCTGTGTTCAGTTAAGCAAGATGGAACGAACTAATGGAGGAAATGCAGGAAATACAGGAATTGGAACTAATGAAACTAAAGGGTCGTCTACAATGGAGAGTTGTAGGCCGTAATAGTAAGAAATTGACCAATCACAGATAAAGTACAGAAGAATAATCGATTGTGATTTGTCAATTTCTTACTGTTACGGCCTACAACTCTCCATTGTAGACGACCCTTTAGTTTCATTAGTTCCAATTCCTGTATTTCCTTCATTTCCTGCATTAGTTCGTTCCATCTTGCTTAACTGAACACAGCCTAGATATAATACAAAAATAGAATGACACAATAATTCTGATAGCGCGTCTGTCGATAAAGTTTTAACGTATTGTAGTTATAAGTAAATATCTATTATTTTAAAGTGCGAGAGTACGCGCGCATCTAGTGTACTGCATGTTACATGACGTCTCAATAGGTTCATTAAGAAAGATATATGTAAAGTTTTAGAGTCTTTTGTAATATTATAAAAATGTTTATAGGTCAAACTAAGTCAAACAATGGATAAAAATTATGACAAATGACATTATTTGTCCATTTTGAGAAGTTGTCATAGAGAAGATTTGTAACACCAAATATTATTATAGAAATTAAATTACTGTAACTTTGTACTTTTCAAAAAGAGACGATAAAAGTAGCAAGCAATATAGTTCCGTTTGTGGTAACACATTCTTAGTGTATTTGTAGTAGAGCACAAGAAAAGGATCATATATTATATTATATAAATATGATCACATATAAACTTGGTAGAAAATATTGCACATTGTTTAACCCTCGGAGAACACACTGGGTCAATTTGACCCTGTTCGTCGACTTTGATCAAAATATTTTGCTTCAATTTTGCTTTTTTGTAACATATTTTTTACAATGTTAATAATGTTAACGACACTTAAAAACTATATAGGCATATTACAAACTGTTCAAAATATATCCGAAAATTTTTTCAAGCCAATCGGATAAGTGCATTTTAAATGGTAGCATCCCAAAAAGTGGACAGGGTCAAATTGACCCAGATTGTTCTTCTTGATTGAAAAAATAGGTGTGTTCCCCGAGGGTTAAACCTTAAGAAACATTAAAAAGTAACCAGAGAAATGAAGTGCAAATGTTCTTTTTATTGTAAATAAAAATTATATAACAAAAATTATTTTATAGTTAAAACATAATAGAGTAAAACTACCCTAACTGTTATTGTTTCATAAGTATTAGTAATAGTTTTAATCAGTAATCTTGTTAAACTTAACATTAAATAATATCTAACTTTTTTTTTATTTCTATAATGTTATGTATATATGTTGTATTGTTTTACTATGTACTTAATATTTATTTATTTTTTGTGCAAGATGCTTTTGAATACTTAACTTTACAACAATACTTTAATCAACTATATTAATAAAAACTATTTATTGTTAATACCAATCTGATTTTCTTTTGTGGACAACTGGCGCGAATTAGTAACTATATTAAAATCGGTAAACTGTATTACCGATTTTAAATATAAGTAATAAATATTTTTTGTTGTCATAAAAGAAAACTGTACTTATTACACACAAGTCACATACGTATTGAGAAAAACAAGTAAGTAGTAGCATTTGTTCCTTTAAGATAAAGAAAACGAATATACAAGTCTAACATTAAATCTCTGTAAATAAATGCATTTTATCGCTTGGAAAAAAGTTATTTTTTACTTTAACTAGAAAATCACGACGATCATCAACTTTTTTTTTCACGGCGTAAATAACATAAGATGGCTGAAACAAATCACAATAACTTATATAATAATTTTGTATAAGTTTGCAAAGATTAAATAAAAAAAAGTATATGTTTCGAAAAACAAACAAAATATCAATTTATAAATATATAATAGTTTACATTTAGAAAAACAAAAAAAATCGTTAAACTACAAGAAACACTACTTATAGAATACTTCAAATAGTCTATAAAAATATTTACCGCACGATGTCTGTCCCTCAGCATTTGTACGAACTTTTCATTGCGAACCTGAAAATATTTTGTGCTGTTATCATTGAATGTGATGTGCGTGCGCATTGTATAAAACCACATAATATTACCTATTGTTATTCCTATATTATATCAAAAACAATGTAAGATATATAACTACAAAATACGTCTACCATACTTATGTATATAAATATATAATATGTTTTAAAACCGAAATGTGTAGGTTTTTATATATATAAAACTAGATAAAGTAAACTATATATATTGATAAAGCAAATGACTATATCTAGTACTTCCTATACATACCATCGACAGGCCTTCGTCTGAATGTATGTTATTAATAATACAGTTCATTATTGCATGTATGTTATTGTCGCTGTCACAAGTAACAATGAAAATTAATATGTAAAATTTATTTGTTTACGTATTAAGTATATATTATAATACAACATCGTATATGCGGCAAATGGATTTCATATGCAGTTTATATAGAACGTAACTACATTATGTAAATATGCAAAAGTCTATACATACAAAAAAATAGTTTACCTTTCTATGGAACGTATTTCTTCTAGTATAGACGTCAGCGATGCAAGAGTTTTTGAATGCCTTGTAAAAAGATTAAAAAGAAAAGAAACTTTATCACTTTTCTTTAAATCTATACTACGTCCATAAGATGGTAGAAAATTAATTGCAAAGAAATTAAAAGATAAGAAAATATTCCTGCGAAGTCTAGAACAAAGTAAAAATTTAAACATTTCTTCTACTTTTGACTGCGTTTCATGCATGGTTTTTAATGTATACCATGTAGAAGAGTTTTCATACGTGGAATTTTCTACCATTAAACTCTGGCAAAATATCCATTTCTGCCAACTTGGCAAAAGTCTGCAAAGAAACAATATATATAACTTTACTCAAAGAAAAGAAAGAGAAAGAAATAAAGAAATCACTAGTCGCGATAATGTTTTTTTTTTTTAACAAGAACAAGAACAAGAACAAGAACAAGAACAAGAACAACAACAACAAAAAAAATACTAATACTAACAATAATAAAAACAATGTAAAATGTATGTGATATAATCGTATATAAACGTAAAACAACGTAACTATAATCAGGTAACGTCTTTAATACTATTAGTTTGCTATTAAGTCAATAAGGTACCTGTTTCGTGCAGGATTATGTATATGCCACGTTAATTCAGCCATAACAATATCTTTGCACTTTATGCTATCGAGAATACATGCCCATTTTAAAACTTCGTAATATAACTGATTAATGACATTATTTTCGGAAGAAGGTGTATGCGACGAATACTCAAGAAACGTATTCACTACAACCAGAATTTTATACTAAAAAATCATAAAATATAAGTTCGTTTTATGATATACTTTTTACACTTAGTTTATTTAATAAATGTTTATAATATATTTACGTAAGAATAAAGTTTTAAATGTGGTAGTTTTTATATTTAATACATTTCATATTTCAATGTTTTTATCAAACGCTTATGTACATGTAAATGTTTCTTTTTCTTTATCTGAAACTTATACATGTATGAAAACGTCAGATATCTAATAGTAATCTAAGTAATATTTACTATTTGTTTAATCTATCACAGGTTTTTGTACAACATATGTTTGAACAGATATCAACAAACAAGTCATGTGATAAATATAATTCATCTTTTTATCTTGTGTCTCTTTTTGATGTGGATGTTTATGTTCAAAACAACTTGTTTATTTATAATGTATTATACAAAAGTTTCTGTGTATTGATTGCAAAAGTACAAACTAATGTAACAAAGTTTGATAAATTATATTATAAAAATTTAAGAAACTTAGTTATCGTTTAATTTTATCTTTTTTTATCATTTAATTAATTTATTAATTTAGTACTATTTACCTTGATGTATGCACTTTCTGAAAACGGAAACATCTTTGATAAGTACTCAAAAGCAGTAAATATTGGATACCAAGCTATGTAGGAATTGTTCATGTGAAATACATTGTTGGCAATATCGAAAAATATGTTTAGATTTTCATAAGTATTTAAAACAGAATTTTCATTATAATCTGTATTTTGTATTAAAAAATAAAAAGCATCGTCGAGAATTTGAGCTAATGTGATGTCAGATAAATTCAACATATTAAATGGTGTAGTTTTCAAGAAGAGAGCAATATTCTTCCAAGATTTACGATCGTAGTTGACGCGATATCCTACAACAATTAAGTGTTAGAATGAGTGACAAAAGATAATAGTGAGAATACTAGAAAGACAAAAAAAAGATAAATAAAACAATAAAACAAGAAACAGTAAATATAATACATTGACGAAAATTTCAAAGGTACTATGTAAGAGCAAACGACAAAACTTAATAATCCATGTGTGTAAAAATATTACCAGGTACATCTATAAAAATTGCAGAATCATCTTCTTCAATATTCGAAACTATAATATTGTTTTCGTCTGGTTGTAAGTACGATTGATATTTGATATTAGACTGTCGTATTGTTGTATAGGTCACAGGTATCCACCACGTGCTTACACAAGATTTCTCTATATTACTTAGAAAACAGTCTCTAATCAATATTTCAAGAGTCCGTGTATTGTTGTGTCGGTTTACTTGCACTAAAGGATAACCAACGTGTGTCCAAGAAGTTATCACAGTCGTTAAAATTCTGAGGAAAGACGTGTTTTTGTGCGTAGGCATCTCAGATAGTAGTTTACTCCATAAAATATCAAAATTTGACTGTGTAGTATAAGTATCACGTGAACTAATAACAAACGAGAGTAGTATAAAAAGTACACTGATGTTAGGTAATAAAATTAGGTAATAAATGTTTCAAAGAAAAAATAGTATTTTCTTTACGTTTTGACGATACCGTATAATGTGAATTACACAAATAAACATTTTGCGCAACTTATCATAATAATTTATATACTCACGTGTTATAATATAAGTTTATGGCTTTTTCAAACATAAAGTTGTAGAGGACATGTTTGTCAGTGACCATGTAAAATAGATTGATTGCTACAACATAATTTTGATTGTATAATAAATAGAAAATTTATAATAAAAAAGCTATCTATATAATGACCATAAATTTATATAATATAAAGATAATTGATTCAAACAACTACATAGGCTACTATTGTGTACATATATTAAATAAAAGTAGTTATACTATTTTTGTGTTGTTTATCGTTTATTTATGTAGATTATTTTATTAGTTATTTTTTACAGTCAACGTGACCTAACACATGCATACAAAATTGTAACTGGTTAATCAGTCGGTTTTTGTTTGTTTATATGTAAACGTAACAGAAATAGCACATCGCAGTAAGCATCCGTTTAAGGTAAAAATCTTTGATTAATCTTTTGTCACACACAAAAAAAACTAATGTCGGCTGAATGTGGCAGCTGAAGCAAACTTTCGCCGTCAGTTCAGCATCTTCTAAAGTGTATATATCGATTTTTCATAATGTTGTGGTAACAAAGTTATATGTGAAATGTAAATTAAGTGAAAATTTACCCAATAAATATAATTCTCTTACCACTTTTTCGCCACACTTCGAGAAAAATCGAGCTTTTAGGTATGGACGGTGAATTTTCTGTAACTGGAAGATCATATGTAATAATTGCTTCTATAAAATCAAGAATTCCCCGTCGTGTTTGGACCACTAGCGACTTCAGTAAAGATTGACCAAAAATCTACAATAGTTTAATAAAAGTATACAAATACTATTTAAGTAACTCAGCTATTATATATGCATATACAATACAGTTTTATGTATTAATATAGTTTAAACAATACGATTTTAAAAGAGCAGACTTTATGACATCTTGTAGTAGAAAATCTTATACTAAAGCAGCGTATTATCAATACGACACATTTTTTAACGGAAAGTAAGATAAAAAAAACTTTATATGACCATACACTAATTTAATATATTTAATATTATATATATATATATATATGATATAAAACATTTAAAAAAAAAGTTTGTGATATTTAAGACATAGACATTATATGGGTTTGTGTTCTGTATATGCGTAAATTACACACACTATTTCTATATGTTTTATATATAAAAATGTGTAAATATCGTCTCTATTTACGTATGCTTAGACAGGGTGTCCCAAAAATTTTGACCAAAGCGAAGTATAAAGGTAGATTACGTTAATCTAAATAGAAAAGTTATATATCATTTTGCACAATTCGCAATAGGTATTGAATAGTTAATTAATAAATGTAAGCCAATGAGCGCGTGGGAAGCGATGGTCCGGACGCTGTAGACGTATGCTTATCAGCTGTGAAGAAAAATGGCTTTCTTCATGCAATATCCTAGCAACGAGAGACAGAGTAAACAAGCAAGCGCGACGTGTAGCGTGTGACAGCTTTTTGCAATCAGCTGATATTTGGCGGTACAAAGAAAACAGCAAAGGGATAAGAAGGCGTTTTGCTCGCGATCATGTGATGCGGTATAACGCAGCGAACAGCAGCAAGCGACTATCAGCTGATCGCATGAAGCTGTCATTTATTAATTACCTATTCAATACCTATTGCGAATTTTTCAAAATGATATATAACTTTTCTATTCAGATTAATGTAATCTATCTTCACACTTTGGCTTGGTCAAAGTTGTTAGGACACCTTGTATAAGTGTCACAGACGGAGTGTGTTCCATATGAACTCACAAATGAATCGGACACAGCAAGATGTGTACATCGGACACAGTTTCAATCAGACACAAGTTGAAACAAACACGAGATGAAACGGACACACGACAGTCTGAATCGGACGCATTAGTATTAAAACAAGATTACTTTTTTGATGTTTTTTTTTGTTCGTGCTCTAAACGTGTAGGCAAAGAAGGACTGCACTTCCCTTTTGCTTTGCGTGGAAAGTAGAAACCTATATGAAATTTTGCTTCAGTTTTCGTTCCGTTGCTTGTCACGTCAGTATACTATGTTTACTACAAGCGTTGTGTGTCCGCTTCAACTTGTGTCCAATTGTTACTGTGTCCGATTGTCTCAGTTCTGTGTCCGTGTCTTGTCGTGTGCGATTGAGTGTGTGTCCGATTCACATTTTGCCGTATCCGTTTTATCTTGTGTCTATTTGGGACTCACTCCGAGATTTACAGTTTATTGTATAGTAATACTCAGAATTGACGTTCTTATGATAAACAAATAATGAACAAATATAATTATGATTAAAATATGTATAAAGAAAAAATTGGAAAAAAGCTTCTTTACCTAGAAAAACGTAAAGTTTTAAAACATGTAAGAATTTAAACTGGTGATTTGATCTTCTCTAAATTTGCGTTTTATAGTTACAGGATTAAACGTAAAAAGTGGCGATATTGTATACATGAATATATTGTAAACATGAATATATATACAGGATGTCCGACAATTATTTTAAAATCTCTCGTAGGCAGATAGAAAGAGTAAAACTGAGTCAAAAAGGTTTGAACCATTTTGTTCTATTACATATAATAAAGAAGTAATTATTGAATAAATCAAGCCAATCAGCGCCGACCTTTAGCTGAACGCATGTCAGTGAACCACGGGCCTGGTGTGCGTGAGCGCTCCGCGCGGCCCACTGACGTGCGCCCGGCTAAAGATCGGCGCTGATTGGCTTGATTTATTCAATAATTACTCCTTTATTATATGTAATAGAAAATAATGATTCAGGACTTTTTGACTCTCAGTTTTATTTCTTCTATTTGCCTACGAGAGATGTTAAAGTAATTGTCGGACACCCTGTATAGTAAGTATGTATACATAAAATTTAATACATACTCTTACGTATAGTTACTATGTTTGGATCTTAATAAAATAATACAACTATAACAAAAGATTACTAGTAAAATGTTACAATAGTATAAGTATATATTAGTAGGATAAATTTTATTTTAAATAATATTTGTGTATAAAAAGCCATTTAAATTACAAGTGTAAACAACTATAATAATGTATGAATTACCTGATCGATAATATACAGTCCGTAAAAATTTGAAAAACCTTCCATAAACCAAGATTCAGACTGTTTAAATGTAGCTACCCAATCACTGAAAATTTCTTGTATTACACTACGTGCTACCAAACATGTTACTTTTTTGTTTTGTGTGAGTGAATCTATGTTTTTATCGTATATAATGGCAGCTTCACTGAAAATAACATTGTTCTTAGTGCAGTCATGTTATTCTCATCTGGTTGAGAGCTGTTGTCGTAAAATGTATCTTACTTGAAAAAAACAAGATTTTTAGTTATTATAGTTTCGTAATGGCTCGAATTTAGTGGAAGTACTCTGTAAAACACATGAGATTGTGGCACATCTTGCCAATTGTATGTAACATAAGCCGTTATATTAGTAATAAGAGATACTGCATATGATATGGTACTTAGTATCTGTGATCTGTTTGAGTAGATATAGATCTCAAATGGTACGACTGCTATTGCTACTAAATAAGTAGACATTAAAGGTGTAATAGGAAATAATGTATAAGTCTCATTTCTTGCAAACATTTTAGTTCCACGCGTATGTGACAGAGCAATTTCATTGGAAGCATGAATTATTCGTATAATAAATGTGGCCTTATTTGCTGGGTTTTCCCAACATGGAAATATCCATTCAGCGGGGATACGCGGCAAAATCAAATATCTGTATAGTAAAAACACGAGTGCTAGATATAAATTATTCCTTCACTAGTAATATATATATAAATCATTCTTCAACAGGATAAACGTAATACTAATCACTTCTTCAACTTAGTATTAACTTACTGTGTTTCTTCAGATTGCTGGACATATGAAAAAACCGTTGCAACTTTCTCTAAACTACAATTATAATTTGCATGTATCCAATATTTTCCACTTTGTAAATATGTTAGTCGGTTGGTTTCATTAGTTCCGCGATCCACGGAAACGATTGTGATGTGTAAGCTGTTGAATCGACCTTCCGTTGAAAATACCACCGAGTTTATGTCCCAAAACACAGAAGTAAAATTATTTTGTGAATCACTACTGATAAACATTTTCGGTTGATCACAATAACGTCCGAAATATAATCTTATATTTCGTTGTCTACATGGAACGTTTATTTTAGCGCGAGATTCAACGCTGAAAGAGTTTGTTTGTATTTGCGGGAAAATATTCATTTCATAGAATATTGGTTCTATGCACTGTGATTTTTCAGATAAAGTCTCATCACTGTAAGAAGCAATTCCGGTTAGAAATATTAGGCACAAGATACCAAAAAATGTAAGCATCTGCGTAATGTGGACCTATAAAAGTAAATTGTTTAACAATTAATAAAAAAACTTAAGGCTCTCTTAAAGTAATAACTAAGAAATGAATAAGATCATACGAGCCGCTTTGCAAGATGTTATGCTGAAATGTTCTATTATATATATGTATACATATATATATGTTCACATGTAAAGTTTTACACGTGTTTTTTGAATTGAAATTTCAATTCTTAAAATCATACAGTATGCTATACTTGCATCTCTATGTATGACAGACCCCGAATACCCCCCGAACTAATTTTAGAATATTGCGAAAAAATAACGTTAAAAAAACACGTGTAAAAATTTACATGTGAACATATATATATGTATACATATATATAATAGAACATTTCAGCATAACATCTTGCAAAGCGGCTCGTATGATCTTATTCATTTTTTAGTTAGTAAATTGTTTGTTAAACAAGAAATATCCAAATAAAATCGCAACAACGGATTTAAATTGTATAGAATAAATGGTTGCGTTCAGTAAAACAATCTGCTTTATAGCAATCGAACATGATTGACTCTTACTTTTAGAACCAGTTACTCCACGTTGAGTAGTGACAAGAGTATCAACAATTCAGTAATTGCTTTGCTAAACGCGGCCATAAATTGTTTTTCACATAAAATTGCCAACAACAGATGTATATGACCGTTATAAGCATATTTATCACTACGTTGCGATGTCTTTATGTTTATCACGTACACGCGTACACATACACTCACATAATATTTGTTATTATTGTGTTGTTTTCATCACTTTGACATATAGAAGGACTTTTTTTAAAAAAAAAAAAAAGTACAAAGTATGGTGAACATTTATGACAAAATAGTATTTGAACGAACAAAGCTATATTCTACAGAAAACTGTTCACATGTTTTGAGCGCGTTGTACTAATATAGTATGTCACACATTGCAATTTACGTCAATGTAAAAAAGATATTCTTAGATTGTAGTAATATTTTTGTATTAATAATGTATGGAGTATATTTCTGGTAAAATATTTTTCATGTATAAAATTGTATGGACATATTTGGTATATAAATTTGCATAATTAGATATAATTATTTTAATTTGTATATAAGTATATATGAAATATTTTTTACCGGGTTGTCAAATAGGTAGATACAATAACTGATAAAATAGAGTACATATATACTTTTTAAATATAAAGAGGAAAGAACAGATTTTATTTTTTGTCAGCGTATGATAAAGAATAGAGGTTACATTGGACAACAAATATAAATTCAACAAATATATATTCAACAAATATACGACCGATCTGTTACTGACTTACCATGCTTAAGATAATAATCGTGTTCAGTAAAATAGAAATCTTGGAACACAAAATTATCACTATATAAGGTTAAAAACAAAGTGTTTAAGGATTTCTGCGATCTCGTCTGTTCGAGAGATACTCGATAACTACAGGACAGTCGTTTCCGTGAAGTGATAAATATACATCACAATGAAGACATCTGTATTGTAGAAAACATCTTACTTAGAGTGTATGTCATGTAGATACATATACAGACAGTGCCGTATTAAAAGTGGTGCGGAGAAAGCGATACTGTCTACCTTGATTACTGTCTTAACAAAGGCTCAATGGAGCAATATAAAACCGCGATTTTAATGCTTAACTCTCTGTGGGCCGAATTTTTTTCTTGCAGACAACTTGCAAAGTATTTATTTTGACATTTCAGGTTGATGGTGCTGCCAACCGTCATCAATAGTGTTATTGGTTATTTCAGAGGCATTATATAATTAAGACGTATACATCATCTTGTGAAAAAAACTAAACCTATTTGGTAAAATGTGGATATATTAGCTTGTGACTTGAAAGTTACATGGGCCCATAAAAGGTTAAAGTTTAATCATTGTTTAATGTAATACAAAAATCTCATTTATTCTTATTTTTTCAACGTGCGTAATAGACACAAAATGTCTTTTCAACAAATTCGGCGTTTTTTGTTTATCAAAAATTGCTAAAGGTATCGGTGTAGAATAAAAAAATTGCTTTGTTTTTTTTCTTGCTTATTAATAATACGCTTTTTTTCTTCCGAGATAATTACGTAGCGCACAAACGTACGAGTCGGTCGCACTTTTATATTTACAGTCTGTAACACAGACAACTGTGCAAATAAATAGCCAAATAATTTACGATCAAGACATTACTTTTGTCTTATTTTTATAAAAACTTAATTGATTAAAAAAAGTAAAATGTAAACTAAAATAATAATTTTCACAAGATTAAGGGTGCGGTCAACGTCTCACTGCAAATGTTTGCAAGTATCATTCTATCTTTATTCTACATTTAACGAGAAATAAAGATAGAACGATGCTTCAAAACATTTGCAGTGAAGCTTTGACTGCACTCTAAAACAATTATTTGGTAGGTATTAAAATTAGTATATTAAAGTAATCTTATAAAAAATAAGAAAAAAAACCGTTCTGGTCGCTGTCTTTTCTTATTACGCCACTGTATAAAGGTAGCTTTTGTAAGTCGGGGATATTCTGTTCCACAAAAATGCCGCGGTTTATAAATCGCGATATACGAAACTCGCATAAGCGCGCATATTGACTAAACAAAATACTTAGTCTCCATTTTACAATTTATAAATCGCGTTATATCAAAACCGCGTTCTACGGGAGCTATCTGTAGTAAAAAAAATACTTTTAAAGTGTAAATTTTCACTGATCAATATGCAAAACCTTTCTTATATACGAGATGTTTTAAAATAGTCAGTTCAACATTCCTTTGTTTTAAACAAATATATTAAACAAAATTAAAAGACAATAGTGATTAATAGAGATTACTCTCGGGCTCTATAGTTTTTTAAACTAATATATGAATAGAAGGTCATGTAAAGTCGTTCCCAGGGTGTTGTGCGGAAATGTGAGTATGTATGAATACATATATATACATATATATATGAATTCACGTATAATATTTTTCACGTGAGTTTTTTAGAATTGAAATTACAATTCTTTAAATCATATAAGATGCTTCTGCATCAAATATATGAAGAATCCCGAATACTCTCCTAACTAATTTTTCAAATATTGCAAAAAAAACTCTTCAGCCAGGAGTCGAACCTGGAATCTCCGGCTTTTCGGGCAATTGTTTTTAATATAGTACCTGATATTTTTAATAACAGATATTGCATATACCAAGCTACTTGTCATATGTGATTTATTTAAGGAAAAATAAACTTCCAAAGATACGACTACTACTGATACTAAATGAGTAGACACTACTGTAGGTGTAAGAGGAAAGTATGTACAGGACATATTTCCTTCAAGAGTTCTATAACCACGCATATGTGAAAAAGCAATTTTATCATTGCTGTGATAAATGCGAATACTATATGTAGCCTTAGTTGCTGAATTTTTCCAATATGGAAATATCCATTCAGCGGGAATACGCGGCAAAATTAAGTATCTATATAGTGAAAAACGTGAGTGCTAGAGATAAATTAATAATTTACTCTAATAAAAGTATATATAAATTATATTAGAACAACAGTAATACTAATTAATGCTTCAAGTTATTATGCACTTACTTTATGTCTTCAGATTGCTGTACATATGATAAAACAGTAGCAACTTTGTCTAAAGTACAATTATATACCGTATTTATCCTGTATATTCCGGTTTTTAGATATGTTATTTGAAGCGACTCTGTACTACTTTTGCGATTCACTAGAATGACTCTGATGGTTTTGAATCGATGTTTTGTAAAATTTGACTTCGACGTTGTCCAAAGTACAAAAGTAAAATTATCGCGTATATTACTACCAAGAAAAGAAATTTTCGATTCATCACAATAAGGTCCAAGTTTTAATCTTATAGGTGACTGTGAACATGTAACGTTTATTTCGACNTGAGATTCAACGTTAAGAGAGTTATTTTGTATTTGCGGAAAAATCTTCATTTCATAAGATATCGGTTTTATGCAATGCAATTTTTTAGATACATTCTTCTCAATTGAAGAAGCATTTCCGATTAGAAATATTAAGCACAAATTTCCAAAGAATGTAAGCATCTGCGTACTGTAAATCTATAAAAGTAAATTGTTTGCTGGACAATAGTATGCAAAAAAAAACGCAACATACGTATTTAAATTGTACAAAATAAATGGTTGCGTACAGCAGAGAGAGAACAAGCTGCTTTGTAATAATCAAATAGAATTAGCTCAAATATAATTAGCAAACCAATTACTCAACGTCGAATATTGAGAAGAAAACAACTCAACGTTTGTTTTGCTAAACGCGACCATAGATTGCTTTTTCAAATATAATTGCCACCAACAGATATGTATGACCGTTATTAGTACGTTTATCACTATGCCGCGATGTCTTTATATTTATCACGTACATATACACGTATACACATACACTCACATAATATTTGTCATGATTGTGTTGTTTTCATCAATTTGACATATAGAAAAACGATTGAAAAAAAAAATCCAAAGTTGTAGAACGTTTATGACAAAAATATTATTTGAACAAACAAAGTTTTACTTTCTAGAAAACTGTCCACATTTTGTGAGCGCGTTTTAATAATATAATACGTCACACATTGCATATTACGGCAATGTAACAAAGATATTTTTAAATCGTAGTAATATTCATGTAATAATAATATAATAATGTATAGAATATTAACAAGTATTATGCGTAGTACAATAACTAAGAAAAAAAATAGATATATATAAAGTAGATATATATTTTATATATAAAGAGAGAGAGAGAGAGAGAGAGAGAGAGAGAGAGAGAAAGAGAGAGAGAACAAAGAAATGTTATATATAAAGAACGGATTCTATATTTTGTCAGCATATGATGAAAGATACAAGTTATAGGTGACAAAGAATATAAATATTCAACAAATAATATACAAGCTTGTAATGTGACTTACCATGTTTAAAATAATTATCTTATCCATTAAAATATAAAACATGAATCACAAGAAGTATTATCATATAAGATNAAAAACGAAGTGGCTATGAATATCTGCGATCATGCTTATTCGAAAGATACTCGATAACTGCACGATAGTCGTTTTCGTGAAATGAGAACTATATATCACGATGTAAACATGTGTATTGTGGAAACCGTCTTATTTAAGTTGTATTTCATGTACATACATATATAAAGGTAACTTTTATATAACGCGGTTGTTCCGTTCCATAGAAATGCCGCATTTTATAAATCGCGTTATCGAGGCACAAGCGCGCATAGTAAAGAAACAGATTAATCTTTAATTTATAAACCGCGATATACGACAATTATGTGTATAGTGATAAACATATGACTTTTGAAATATGTGTTGTGACTGTGCAACATGCAAATACTTTCATGTACGTTGTTTATTTAAAATGATAAGTTCAATATTTGTTTCTTTAAAACGACTAAGTAAAATATGAAAAATGTTTTAAATTATTTAACAGTTATTGCAACACAAAATTAAATTGGATTACATTCGTACTGCACGTTTGAAAGTGGATGTTGCGCCGTAGTTTCTGCACTTTTATGGGTTTATGATGTTAAAAGCATCAGCCGAGAGCGTCGTAACGTAAGACTTTTTAATGGAGTAGCTGCTCTCATGGTTCTTTTTGACGTGTACATGTATCAAAATAAAGCTCAAAAACTATATGTAAAGTCAATAAGATNAGAAATTCGGAACGGACGAAAAATTGTCCGCTTCAAGCATATCTTGTATCAGAAAGCCATCCTTACAACCATCGGCGAGTAATCTGTTAATCTCTCGCGCATATCATTATCACCACTNTGCGATTTTGTGCGGAATTCTATTCTTCTTTTATACGAAAATTGATTTCTTTTCTTATTGAACTTATTATAGTTTAATAAATAACTTTTCATCAGTGTTCAATCAAATCACTTCTGCTTCTGATTGATACTTTGAGATAAACCCGTAGATATAAAAAAGAATGCTTTATCTGTGCTACTGCATTACTCTATCTTTAGTTTTTAGTGCTTATAAAACAAAGATGTTACTTGACTGTTCGATACGCTCAATAAAACCTATAAAGAGTCTTGCAGTCTACTATATCATTTTATAAATTTTTATAATGTTAAATGTGTTAGAACAATAGATAAAAATGACGACAAATGACATTATTTGTACATTTGTACATTAGAGAAGTTTTGTAACAACAGAGATTTTTTTTAGAGTAAAGATAATGTCGCTTTGTTTTTTTAAATGATAAACGAGTATGAGTAGTAGGCACTAAAGTTTCGTCTGGAAATAACACATGTTTTCTTAGAGTATTTTTATTAGCAAAAATAGTCACATTATATTACATATAATTATGTTCACTTTTACCTTAGATCATGTTCACACAGAAGATCTTGTTAGCAAATATTGTACATTGTTAAAATCTGAAAAAATAATAGAAAGTAACAAGAGAAATTAATTGCAAATGCTATTTTTAAGATAAATAAGAATTATATAATAAATATGTTTTTTGTAATACATACATAATAAACTATAATTAACTTAATACTTACAGTTTTATATAATTCTTGTAATATTAATTAATATATCTCGCTACATAACATTGAACAATATAAAGTTTTCTTTTATTGTCATAATGTTATAGAGGGTGTTTGATAAGTACCGTCTCACCGCTTGTAGAAGGGGTTATTTTAAGACAAACTCTTTTAATAAATAAATGAATAAATAATATAATCATTATTAACATCTCGATATTACAAATATGTGATTAAAGAAAAACAGCAAACTGTTGATACTAAGAATTTATTTATTTATTTATTAGAAGAATTCCATAAA